TGTTAAAGATACTGTGCAATTTGTCTAGATGCTACATTATTTTAATTGAATGAAATTAGACACCAGGAAGGAATACTATCACATCAGTTGCTTAAATACGGGGGCATCTCTCAAGAAGTGCTTTATTATTATACTGATTGTATTGATGTCCGCCTCTTTCCAAATATGCAAAGTGATGATGACTGGAGGTCTGAAACAGTTTCAGTTAAGAAGGCTCAGAGGTTTTCTGTTCATTGTTATTTCAATGGCAATTGCTGTTTCTTGAGCATACCTTATCCTGTCAGCTGACCCTCTCAGCAGAGCTGAGCCTGTTTGGCACCCAGTGTTTTTGCCCTGGCACTTGGTCTAAGAGTCAGCTTGCTAGTTTGATAAGAACATTTGAAAAACATTATTTTTCTTGAGTGTAAGTATTCCTCGTCAAGACCTCATTTTTGCTTTCTTCATTATTGGAAAAAGAAAAGGAATCAACCTTATAATTAACCTCAAAACACAAATTACATAGTTAGAGAGATGGCTCAAAGGACTATGTGCATACTTTGCATGTGGGACTCCCAGGTTCAATTCCAGAACCACTGGGAGTGATTCTCAAGCAGCTGAGCCAGAAATAACCTCCAGGCTTTGCTGCGGGTGGTCCAACCCCTGGCCCAGAAAAAAGAAAAAAAAAGACACGATCTATGTCTCCTATTTCACTAAATAATCACTGATTTTAAAAAGTGAGGAGCTTGAACCTAAATGGAAGAACTACTGTTTTTCCAAGGTAGTTAGTGACCCACTCACTCTTCTTTTTTCCCAAACAGCAGGGATTCTGCACACAGCTCAGATAAGGAGCCAGTGTCATCTACACAAACATTTGTGAATGCGCAAAGCAGCCAGTCTCCCCCTTGACAGTTACCTGATAGAGATGGATCTCAGTAAGCCCATCAGAGAATTCAGAGTTCTGGTAGTAGAAGGAAGAAACTATACCCTCCTGACAGGGAATTTGCTTCAGCAGTCTCCATCCTGCTGAAATAGGAGGCGGAGAATACTAGTACCAGACCGGGAGTCTGGGGAGCTTGAATCTGACTCCCTTTCCACATTTCCCATAAGGAATTTTTACCATTTGGTTTTTGTTTGTTTGTTTTGTTTTGTTTAATTTTTATTAGAGAAACACCATGAGGTACAGTTGCAGACTTACAAATTTTTGTGCTTGGGTTTCAGTTAGTTATACAATGATCGAGTACCCATCCCTCCACCAATGCCCATTCTCCACACCACGGGTCCCAATATCCCTCCCACCCCCCATCCCCCCATCCCACCCTGCCTCAGTGGCAGGGCATCCCCTTTTGTTCTCTCTCTCCTTTTGGGTGTTGTGGTCTGCAAAAGAGGCATTGAGTGGCAATCATGTTCAGTCTATAGTCTACTTTCAGCATGCATCTCCCATCCTGGGAGGATCCTCCAACACCCTTTACTTGGTGCTCCCTTCTCTATCTGAGCTGCCTTTACCCCTAGAGTGTGCAGCTGGCCTCCAAGCCATGGAATAAACCTCCTGGTACTTATCTCGGCTATTCTTGGGTGTTGGTCTCCTATTTTGTTACTTTATGTTCCCCAGAATTTTTTGCCATTTATTAGTTTATTAGAAACTTCTGGTCCACAAAGACCTTCCTAAGTATGTATCTACTTCTAAGAATCTGTGCCTCAACCACTCTCATGCCAAGAAGCAATCACATCATTCCACAGGAGCTTACAGATCCTTCTTGTGGTTCAAGTGAAAATGTCCTGGGCCTTTAACCATGCCCATGAATTTTTCAGTTGGGTTATATTGTCATGGGCTGACTACAACAGGTCAGAGATCCAGACAAATAAGCATCGTAAAATTTTGATTTTACAACAACCTTATCCCCTGAGCTTCTGATCAATTTTATTGACTTAGTCCACCTTTCCCCAATGAGGAGTATTTAAACAAATGTGAACTGTAAAGATGTGTTTCAGATACAGTGATATCCAATTCAATGCCATGACGTCTATGAACCACATGAATGCTGTGGTTTTCCACGCTTAATTTTACTTTGGTGAAATTGCTCTGCCAGAATCTGACACTGTCTAAGAGGAAGAAGATAGCTTTGCTATAAAACTGACACGTTCCCGTGGCTTGTGGCCCCTATGCCTCCATTTTGGCCCAGTAAGCTTGAAGAGTGGGCCTGGAGCTGAGAAGTCTACCTGGGTCTCCTGTTGTTCCCTTCTCTTTTACCCAGGCTGGTGGAACACCACAGATGAGCCAGGTGTTTACAGGAGCCGTGCTTACAGGTTTCAACTAGAATCCCAATCCCCATCCCCTGCATAGCCAGACCCTGGGACTGATCACAGAGCAGAGCAATTAGTCTTCTGCCTAGAGCAGATCAACTCTTTTCTCCCTAAAGCAGACTGTGGTTCATTTTATAGGGAGTAAATACCAAGGCTGAGATAGCTTAAACTTTTGAGACGGACTTTGTCTCCTGCTGGCCTTTGGACAGACCAGGTTTGCGGTTTCAAAAACAGACAATGAAGTACTTTGTGGATATCCCCAAATCTAATTTCTGATAAAAGAAATTTGCCTTTGAGAGTTAAAGACTTAAATCGGCTCAATTGGATCAGAACAAAGAAACACAAAGTCACCTGAAACAGAGAAAAGGACTCATAGGCCCTAAAGGTGATTTTAAACTTTTTGAATGTAGGGACATGTCTACAGGGGGACTAACTAAGATGAAAGGGTCACCACTGAAAGTAAATGTAAAAGGAAATCGGGGCTCATGTCAGTGGCCCTGTTCTTATCTTTGTTCTTGTCAGAGGAAAGCGGTTTTGTTTCCCTAAATGGCTACCCCCAGTATAGAATTGGGGATGAGGTTTGAGTATTTCTCACATACTCATGCTCATATTCCTATTTATTTTTTATATATACTTTTTAAAATTTTTATTAGTGAAACACCACGAGGTATAGTTGTAGACTTACAAATTTTTGTGCTTGGGTTTCAGTTATACAATGATCGAGTACCCATTCCTCCACCAATGCCCATTCTCCACACCACGGGTCCCAATATCCCTCCCACCCTCCCAACCCCCCAATCCCACCCTGCCTCTGTGGCAGGGCATTCCCCTCTGTTCTCTCTCTCCTATTGGGTGCTGTGGTTTGCAAAAGAGACATTGAGTGGCAATCATGTTCAGTCTATAGTCTACTTTCAGCATGCATCTCCCATCCTGGGAGGATCCTCCCAACACCCTTTACTTGGTGCTCCCTTCTCTATCTGAGCTGCCTTTTCTCCTAACATGTGTGGCTGGCCTCCAAGCCATGGAGTAAAATTCCTGATACTAATCTCGACTACTCTTGGGTGTTAGTCTACTATTTTGTTACTTTATATTCCCCAGATGAATGCATTCTTTCTATGTCTGTCCCTCTTTTTCTGACTCATTTCACTTAGCATGATACTTTCCATGTAGTACAACTTGTATGTAAATTTCATGACTTCATCTTTTCTAACAGCTGCATAGTACTCTATTGTGTAGATGTACCAAAGTTTCTTTAACCAGTCATCTGTTCTCGGGCACTCAGGGTTTTTTTTCCATATTTTGGCTATTGTGAACAGTGCAACATCATATTGCTATTTAGAGACAGCCATAATCACTTCTAATGGACGTGGTCATGTACGTTAATGTAATCTTGCATGTTCTGAGATCATATGCCAAAAAAACTGTGTTTTCTTTTTCCTACCAATAGTTTACCATTATATATCAGATAACAATGACTCAGATCACTTACATTTCACCAGAGAAGATAGAAATCAAGGAAAGCAGCAAAAGAATGATCCAACTCACATTTTATAGGAATGTTTATGTTGGACATTGGAGGGAAGGAGGAAACCCTTTGCAAGCCCACTTGGGAGACACCTGGGGCTTAAGAAAGAGGCTTCCATGCCTCTAGAATGGAATATTCTGACAGGGTAGACAGAAAAACCAAAGCCCCGTTCACAGTGACCTCTTCTGTAAGGGCAAGGTAGCATGTGCCCAGTTGGCTTACTGCCCTGGCATCATGATGGTTCCAGTCTTGAAATTTTCTGGATGAGACAGTAAGTCCTAGTACCACCTTTAACAGAGAGGTAGGGAAGTGGCTCAGATGAGCAGGGACCAAGGCCAGGAACCTTCACTCAGTAAGGAGGGAATTACACATCTCAAAATCTTCTCTAGACTCTACTTCATTCATATCCACTCTGACTCTGTGATTTCATTTATTTGCTTCTTTAGACTTGATTGGTTTCCCTTGTCTAGACTCTAGAGCTATAATGTTAGATTGTTCAATGTCTCTCTGGGTGGTGTTGGGGGGACTCTCAAGTGGTACTCAGGAAGTCTGGAGACCCCACCCATGATTCTTGGCCTAGCAGGCCAGTGGTCCAGAGCAGGGCCTGAAGATATGACACTGCTCAGGATACCGGAGTCACTCCAGCAGTGTTCAGGGACCTCCAGGACTGCAGAAGGCAATGCTCAGGGTACCATGTGGTATCAGGAATCGAAAACCGGGTCTGGCGCATGCTAGGCAAGCATCCTGTCCACTGTAGGAGGTCCCAGTCCCAAAGTCTCTGTCTCTGTGCTCAACAGGACCACCTGCTGCTGCTGCTCCAGCTGGATGTTGGGTTGTGTGTTTTCATCTTCTTTCATGCCAAGCTACTTTCTCCTTTTACCTTCAGAGTTTTCCTTTAGCTGGTTGGTTGTTCATAAGTGTATTGATTAATTTCCACACAGTTGTGGATTCTCCAGTTAAATTCAGTTGAATGAAGGAAGTATAGCCACTCAAATACCTGTGTGTGAGGAGACACGTGTTCGGAATGAGATCAAGGACAAAAGAATAGAGCGAGCACTTCTGAGATCATCGCAGTATCCCTGTTATGTATACCCTGCCCCCCAAATAATGGAGCAAACATGAAAGTAAACATGAATCATGGCCTAGGGTTTTAATATTAATATCTTCACTTAGTTACTCTGTATATACTCCACAGGTCTCATGCTGATGGGAAATCCTTACTGCCAATCATCAAGAGAAATGGAAAAATCCCTTCCCAGTTAGCCCGTGGGAGACACCAGGAAATGAATGTTTCCCAGAAGAGCGCTCCTGTGCAGGGCACAGAGCAGTTGGGTACACCATCACACCAATAGTAAGTGTATGAGATGCCAAGAAGTTCTAGCCTTATAGATCCCTGCAATTTGTGAAGCAGGGGCACAAAGGGTTAACTGTTATCTTTCTCTTTAGCCCATGGTTCCTATGGCCTTCTCCACCTTCCTGCTGGTTTTCTTACAAAAGTGAATTTGAAAGAAATAAACAGTTGACCAAGATTTAACTCAGTTTGGGGATTTGAGGAGGCAGGAGGGGATTTGAACCCCACTGTTGTACTCAGGGGCTATACCTGGCTCTGTGCTGAAGGATGACCCCTGGTGGTAGGTATTCAAAGGACTCTATATGGTACCTGGGTCACCGGCAGCCTTAGCCATATACAAGGTGTATCTCACTCCCTGCTCTACCTCTCTGGGTCACCTAGTCTGCAATTTAAAAAAAATCAGACAAATTATAATCAGCAAGTCAGAGTGAAAGTGCAGCAGTGACTTCCATTTTTATTAAACAGTTTCAAAATGAAGAGACCAACTTTTGAGCATTATCTCCTGTGTATGACTGAAGACTGACAGGAAATTAACTAGAAACTGAAATAAAATGTTTACTTTTGAAATGTACCCTAAGGTGCCTCGGCTAACGTTGTAGATAGTGTATCAGTGGTGTTGACATAGCAGAGTATCAGTCTCACGGACTGGGCTTCTAAAATTGCATAATACTGTAAACCTATGATAAATCAATACAGAATGTTAAAGGTTTAGTATACTAGAAACCACAATAATTATAATCAAAGTGAAATAAAAGTCAAAACCTCTTACTATTTTTTTTAACGTCTATGCCTGACCGTAAGTGGTGCTTTTTAAAAGGCCTATTTCCACTCCGGGCTCGGAGAGACCAAGGTCTTCCCACCCATCAGGATGATGGGCAGCCTTAGCCCATGCAAGGCTCAGTGGGTGGAAACGGGACTCAGGGCTGAACTCTCCTGCCCTGGAGGCAGAGAACCAGATGCAGAGCAAATTGGGGCTTACATGAGTCTCGGCACCTTTGAGATGCACAGTGTGACTTCAGTGTCTCTAAGTGGCACCTGCAAGAGCCCCAGGGCCTGCGCATGCTCTCATGTGAGTGCTCACTGCAGTCTGTGCCCCAGGACGCAGCTTGTGGGTCACAGGTGCTGCCGTGGCCCCCCGTGACCCCAGGAGTCAGTGTTGTTCCACCTGGAACCCAACACAGCCATTCTCCTGCTGGTTTCTAGGAGCAAACGGTGTATCTTGGATCAGGAACCTCTCAAACAGATGACAGGAAAAGCATCTCAACCGGAAACAGCTTCCACACCCAAGTGCCTGTGAGAGATGAGGCACAGGGATGTGGTCTAGATAAACCATGAAATCCTCAGCGATGAGGGCAGATGATGGCTTGCTTCTTGTTTCAGCATGAGCGGAACCACAGTGCCATCATCCCAAGCAAAGTAAATGAGAAGAATAAAGACAGACTTGGTGTGTGTGTGTGTGTGTGTGTGTGTGTGGGTGGGTGGGTGGTTGGGAGGGTGGTCATCCTCCCAGGTGGCATATAAAGAAATAAGGCAAGGGAATAGACAATATCCAATGACAACAATCTCTGAGGTGACTGAAGTGACATGGGAGTGAACCAAATGGGTCCAAAGGCCCAAGAGTTCTGAATATTGCCACTTATCTATGTCTGTGGTGTGTGTGTGGTGACATTGTGCCCCTTCAACATAAACATTTGTCCTACTGTAAAACAACTTTATCTCAGTGCCTGCCATAGAGGCAGGCTGGGGTCTGTGGGAGGTGGGGAAGGTGGCTTGAAGGGGTGGAAGGGAACCTGGGGACCCTGGTGCTGGAAAATTATGTTGGTGAAGGGATGGGTGTTGCAACACTGTATCATTGCAACTCAATCATGAACAATTTTGTAATGTTTTTATCTCCTGATGATTCAATTATAAAAAATCATTATCTCAGTAAATATAAGCGTTAAACAGCAGTACCATTGGGGGCATTTCTATCATGTGTAAAGACTGCACTGCTATGGGGCCATATGAGGCCAGGGAGGAGGGCGGGCCACACACATCCTCATTGATTTCATGGTAGTGACCACAACAGCCCAGTAGTCACACAAATGCCCAGCATGACAGAAACACGTTCTAAACAGCTTTGTGCTTCCCCAGTCACCACTGAGACGGCTTTCCCAGTCAAGGCAAGCCCAGGGGCCCTTCCAGTCAGTCTCTTTGGGGAGCACAGAGAACCCTGAAAGTGAAAAAGTCCTGAGCTCTCCCCCACAGGTCATCAAAAAGGGGTTCACATGTTCCTCATATTTTTAAACTGTTTCTACTCACCAAAAGACAATGGAATGAACTCCCCAAGCTCATGACATCACTTCTGCCTTTACCCCAAGCTTATCACTGCTGCCTCTCTTGGAATCTCTCCCTTCCCTTCCCCACTGTCCCATCCTCGGAACGAGTAGGGATCCATCTCCTGCCCCACCCCAGTATCCGCTTCCTCCTTTTCGGAATATCCATCACCTGCCCATGCAGGAGTACATGATTCTGAGGGGAAAAGCAGCAAAGCAGAAAGTGATTCACTCTTCTGGTCAGGGAGGATGTGTACCCTCTGGAACACAGACCAGTTCCCTCCCCTGACCCCCTTCTGATCACACCTTTCTTGTCTCCTCATCATTTTCCCTAATTCGGCCCCTGGAGGTCAAGTCATCCCAACACAAGAGCAATTTCTCTGCTCCCTACTGTTCTCTGGAATCTCCAGGAGGCTATGTCCTGCCGGCGGTCACGGGACAGGCAGTGGGGCCCTCACCGAGCACCTCTAGCTGTGATGTAAGCACTTACCTAACCTAGGAAAATAGCACTCCGCTTAAGCCAGCCACTCACAGATGTATCTGCAGGGCACAGGGGAGCATTGGGAAGAGAGTGCAGGGAACTAAAACAGGGGACCATCCCACCTCCTCCCTGAACCAAGAAGGAGGGAAGCAACCAGAGAGATTGGTGCCGTTTGCTCTTGGTTTTCTACATAATTAGTAGTGTACAGAGAACTGTTTTACTTTTGCTTCTTTTGATGTTTTCTTGGGCAAGGGTGCTCCAAAGCAAGGTTCGTCCAAGGGGAGGGGGCGTTGGTAGGAATACTGGGATCATTGGTGGTGGAGAATGGGCGCTGATGGAGGGATGGGTACTCAATCATTGTATAACTGAAACCCAAGCACAAAACTTTGTAAGCAAGGTTCAGCAGGCCCAGGGTCCCTTCTAGGGATTCTTGATCAACCAGGCCAGTGGACTAGCACAAGGTGTGGGGCTTCTCATGCCTGTGGTTTTGTGGATTTCCACTGGCCCCAAGAGAGGTGCTGGGACCCTCCAAGCTTCACCGCACAATGCTCAGAAGACTGTGTGGTGCTGAAGCATGTGTCTTAACCCTTTTACTGTCTCTCTGACCCACAATTGTTTGGGGGGCACACCTGGCGATGCTGAGGAGTTGCTCCTGACTCTGCACTCAGGAATTACTCCTGGCGGTGCTTGGGGGGACCCTATGGGGTATTAGGGATCGAATCTGGGTCAGCCTCATGCAAGACAACTGCCCTACCTACTGCATTATCATTCCACGCCCTGGCCCCCATTTTTTACTTTTAGTAACCTAAAGATTCTGAATTTTTTCTCATAAGTGCTAGCTCCTCTTATTTGCACTCCCCAGATTGTATGATTAAAGTGAAACACATCAGTGAGTTCACAGTTAATCCCAATTAAAGGTCACCAGCGAAAAACCACCAAGCACCTTTGTTATCAGTGCCCAGGAAAACTAACCTGGTTTCTGGGGAGAAGCTGAGATGAGAGAATAGAGAGAAGATGGCAACTACTCTGTGCCTCATCACTGACTGCCCGTGCTGGGAAGAGAAAGCAGGACCCGTCCTTAATTCCTGAGTAATTCCTGCAGAGAAACCAAGGGAGTCGATCCGGTGGGTAAAGATCCTGCTGCCTCAAAGCCTCCTTGCTTGCTCATAGGTTCAACTACGTGGCCAGCAAATCTCTCCAGACTCTTGTTGCATTCTTCTTCTTTCCTCTGTACTTGATGGATGTGTCATGAGCAGTGCTAATGAGCAGTGTACCAGCCAGAATGCAGGTTCCCAGGTCTTGTGAGAACAAAGTGCCTCACCTCACGGGTCTCCCCTCTGTTGGTGTCAGAGTCTACGTGTGTCCTCCCTCCTACACCAGGGCCCTTTTGCACAAAGTCAGCTGTTCAGAAGAAAGCGGGTTTTTGTAATCCTTCCTCTTGATTGGCTGTCAGGACTGGCAATGACTTTTCACATCCTGAAGTTGTTTGTGTTGGGACCAGTATAAAGGAGGAACTGACTGGCTTCTGGTCCCAGCTTCTGGTCCCAATACACTTGTGTGTCCACTATGGCTTTTAACATTCATGGGGAGGGGGTGTACAAATACAGTTGGCAGTGTATTTGCCCAATGATAGGATCAGCAGCAGCAGATAATTAGTCTTTGGAAGTCACCTCAAAGATACTCCATCTTAGAGGGGAAAGAGCCGAGTCTCAGGCATGAGCCAGAAGTTACTTAATGTCAGGCATCAAGTTAACTGTTCAGCACAAGAGGAAACATTGTTTGGGATCGACTTCCTTTGGCTGCACATTACTCCCTGTCCACCACGGCCTCAGACCTGGCTTCCTGGCCAGCTCCAGCCAGCTACACGCTGAAGTTTCTTTTGCTCTTTTGAAGGCATAAGCCTTTTGCAGTGTCGCACTAATGTCAATTGTCTTCGACCCCTCAGCCTCCTGGCATCACCTCAGAGTTTCTGCCTGCGCTGCTAGAGGCACACAGGACTCTGGCGCTGACCACCACCCTCTCTGGTCTTCTTAGGAAAGGAAGGACTTTTCAGCCAGGACCAAGGGCTGCATGGGCAGACACTGCCACCTACTGGCCACAGGGGATAAATGCTGCTGCTCTGACCGAGCATTTACCGTATTTCCCTGGGTGGGCCAGTGACGCGTCTCGATTCCCTTGTGCTGGCTTTGTGTCTCAGACGCAGCTGCTTTTTATGTGACTTGTCTTGCTTTCCAGGAGAAGAACACGGTCACGTTCCCACTCCGCTGTGCAACGGAAGAGCCCGTGTGCGATGGGCGTGCCGAGCTGGGGGAAAGCGTGCGGAACCTCAGACAGCCTCTGATGCTTCTTGGGGAGTACTGGCCCGCAACCTTTTCCCTTACCAACCCACCCCTTGCTGGGCTCTGAGGGGTGAATGCTCCAAGGATGAAGCTGGAGTTGAAGATTGCCATCTCTGAGGCTGAGGAGTCTGGCTTTGCCTGTCAGTCTCTGCCCCCCCATCCCGCCCCCATCCACCAGAGGCGGATCCAAGACCCCAGCAGCCCGTTATCATCCCCTAAGTTCTCCCTGGCTAGCACCAGACACCTGTAGCTGGCTCCCTGTTCCATCCCACAGCAGTGGGCCCTGGGAGCACACTCTGGGTGGTGGGACGATGACCCACGCACCCCCACCCCCTCCGCCTTTTCTCAGAAAAGAAGTCTTCCCTCTCGGAGTGCTGGGAGGTTCTTCCCTCTTTGCATCTTGCTGGTCCACCACTTCCACTTCCTTCTCAGAACTTGCATATCCCAGCCAAAGGGAAGGAGCCAAGGATCGCAGAGCGTCGGGTGTGTGCAGATCCTGAGACCAAGACCGTGGGAAAGGTTTCTTGATTTCAAAGATGCAGGACACCAGCCCATCCTCAGCCAAACCTAAAACCAGTGGGGCTTCCTGGGCCCATCAGGTTGAATAAAAAGGAGTTCAGTTTGGAAGAAACTGACACCAACAAAAATTATCAGTCACCTACAACTAGAAGGGACTTTGGGACCATCTCTAAGGAACCTCGGGAGCCCAAAATGGGACTCTGATTTTGCCAGCTCAAGGAAGCTTCGAAGGGTTGTAGAATTCAGGGATAGCACCCGGATCCTGGCGGCCAACTCAAGGGGTCTGGGCTGCAACTGGCAGGACCCTTCCATCCAGCATGGCCTCCAGCTCAGCTGTGGGACCCCTGCAGCAGCAGTGGCTGGATGAGCTGGATACCTTGGTACGGGAGGAAGAGGAAGTGGACACAGAGCAACCTCACTCCTAAATGGATCTGGGAGCATCATTTGTCCAGCAGCCCTGGAGTGGGGCAAGCCTCAGAGTCAGTTCAATTTTTTTTTTCCTGTTTCTAGTAAAGTTTTTGATATTAAAAAAAAAAAACGAGGATCTCCAGGTCCAAATCAGCTGAGCCTTGGAGAAATGGGGAGATTTTAAGGACATCTAGTCTGGGTGAAGCGGTTGGGAGACCACTGTCTGCAGCTGTCGGAGCAAATCGACACAAATAGGGGAATCCTCACACAGAGAGATGGACCCTCTCTCAGTTCTTGAGGCAGAAGACCGAAATCAAGGTGTGTGGGGGCTGTGGGCCCTGCAGAGGGCTCAGGAGAGGCTCTTCCTGCCGTTCAGCACCTCTGAGTGGTCTGTGCCTCCAAGCCCTCCACTCTGGGCTTACCCACAAGGCTGTTTCCTCTTCCATTCATATTCCCCTATCCAGTGCCCCTTACAGGATGCATAAGATTGCATGTGGGGGATTTAGGCTGAGCGATCCCCACCTACAGACATGTGGACACAGAGATCTCTGTGCAGAAAGAGATTTCATGTGCATATAAATATAGACACAGCTATGTAAAGAGATTCTGTCACATGCATTCATGTGTGTTTTTAAGTAAAGTGGTTTTTTTTTCTTTTTTTCTTTTTTTGCATCACACCTGGTGATGCAGAGGGGTTACTCCTGGTTCTGCACTCAGGAATCACGCCTGGAAGTGCTCGGGGGACCATATAGGACACTGGGAGTCGAACCCGGGTTGGCTGAGTGCAAGGCAAATGCCCTACCTGCTGTGCTATCACTCCAGCCCCAGTAAAGTGTTTTTTGTTTGTTTGTTTTTGTTTTGCTCTTTGGGTCACACCCTGCGATGCACAGGGATTACTCCTGGCTCTGCACTCAGGAATCACCCCTGGCAGTGCTCTGGGGACCCTATGGGATGCTGGGAATTGAATCCGATTTGGCCGCTTGCAAGGCAAATGACCTACCAACTGTGCTATTGCTCCAGCCCCCAGTAAAGTGATTTTTATAAGGAATTATCTCAACAATTTGGGGGTGTCAGACAGCTTCTGATCCATGTCCCCAAGGTGGAGAACCAGATGAATCCATGGGGTGGTTCCAACCCTACCCCAGAGGTGCCACTGGCTTTAGTTCTACCTCAAAGGCAAGAAATCCCTGGTGCCTCCTGCTAGCACAGGTGGACAAAAGGAGCTCCTCGTCCTTGGATTCCAGTCTGGCCTTTAGCTAATGAGATGGGACTGAGTCACGGCAAGGAAAGGCAGCCTGCTTTGCTCAGGCCACCAGTTTGAATGAACAGAATGTTTCACTAACTAGCTGAACATGCCATGGACCCATTGCATGGACATAAAAAATCAGCCACTACAGGTTGACAAGTGTCCTGGCGAGCTGGCACCAGAGTCCACAAGTCCCCTCTGGAAGAGACACAGACCCATGTGGGTGACCAGCAGTCACCTTCCAAGGCTGCAGAGAAGTGGAGACAATGTGGCCAGGATGAAGAGAGACATCCATGTGGTCTGCGTGGCCAAATGACTGGAACCTTGCTCCTCAGCAGGGCCTGGGCAGCAAACCTGCCCAGGGTGGAGCCCCCTAAGGGCACCCTCTGAGGCCTTCCCTCGTGCAAGACTGTGTACATGTCCCCAGCTCCCGTGTTCTACATAGCAGTTCCACCCCAGGCAGAACTTATACACAGCATCGGAGTGGAAGCTCATGGGCAATGGTGCCTTTGGGTGGGCAGTGCAAACACACACTCTCTTCCTCTTCCTCCCAGATGTCAGGAGGCCTTAGAATGTAGTATATGGGAAGAATAAACCCTAAAGGTGCTTCTCTGTCGAGACCACAGCACTGAAAGGCAGCACTGAGAAAAAGAACAACTCTTTCGAAATTTGAGCGATAGCACAGTGGGTAGGGCGTTGGCCTTACAAGCGGCCAACATGGCCGACCCGAGTTCGATTCCTCCGCCCCTCTCGGAGAGCCCGGCAAGCTACCGAGAGTATTCTATATGCCAGACACAGTAACAACAAAGTCTCCAATGGAGACGTTACTGGGCCTGCTCGAGCAAATCGACGATCAACCGGAGGGCCTTTACCTTTTTACCTTACCTTTCGAAATTTAAAAAAAAAGGCACAAAGAGAGAGATTGTACAACACCAGGCCCTTTCTTGCATGTGGCTAACTCAGAGTGGATCCCCAACACTCCACAAGGTCCTCTGAGCACTACCAGCAGTGAGGACTGAGCATCGCCAATGTAGATCAAACAAACAAAATTTAAAAAAAAAAAAAAACAGGTATAAAGCCTGACTAGAAGCCTATTTCAGACCCAGCAGCAGAGCACTCAGTCACATGCCTACCAGGAGTCCTTCTCTCCTTCCCTGCACTGAAAGAAAAACAGAGTCAACTGGAAAGAAAGATTCCCTTGGGATGAAATAATCATGCAGCTGTATAAGCAGACTCAACAATTTTAAATCTCAGTGCTGGAGAGATAGCACAGTGAGTAGAGCGTTTGCCTTGCATGCAGCCAACAGGGGTTTGATCCTGGCATCCCATATGGTCCCCAGAGCACCATCAGGAGTGATCCCTGCAAAGTCAGGAGTAATCGCTGAGCACAGCTAGGTGTGGTCCCAAAGCCAAAACAGAACAAAACAATTTTAAATCTCAAGGAAAGCAATAATCAATTGATACAGCATTTAAACAATTAGGCAAAACAGAAGTTTTTTGTTCTGATTAACATTAGCAAAAGTGTTGATAGATCTTATTGCATCTCCCTTTTAAAAAATTTATATGCCACTTAGGACCTAACTAAAAAGTTTGAACAGAGTATTCTTTAAATAGTTTTTTAATTTGTTTTTAATTCAGAGAAAGAACATTCTGTATCTGTCCTTGCAGTAACAAAAATCATCAAAAATAAAAACAAAACCCCTATCGAAAAATTGCATAATTTAACTTATTTTTACAGCAAAGTACATCTGGCAGTCTTCATTTCTCTTAAAATTTGCTTTGCAACAACTTTTAGTTGAAGAATATCCCATTTCAAACATAGGACACTTTGAAAGAATAAGAAGTCTTTTGCAAGTTTTGTGTGTCCACACCAGGCTTTTCATCTATTTCAATGAATTCTCTGAAAACCATATAAACCTTTGGAGATAGTCATTCACCCTGCAGTGTCACCCTAAGTCACCCTAGGTGGCTTCTAACCAAGCAGCAGCATTAGAAATGATGGAAGTCTACACTTTGCCTCAAATTACTGAAGATGTTGGGAATCTGTATCCTCAACCAGTCAAATACACACACGAGTGCATACACACACACACACTCACACACACCAGTCCTTGGTGAAATAAGAACAGAGGTAAGTCGTCATAGGAAATATAATCATTTTCATTTGAGCTCACAAATTTCAGGTGGTTCACCACGACATACCGGAGGTAAGACAAGTGTCTCATGTCTCCCTCTCTTATTGCTGAGGTCTCCAGAAAATAGACCCAAACTCCAGAAGACTTTAAGAGCACTTAAACTAGCATGGTCTTTCCTCTGAGAAAACCCTGTCCACTACCCGCGTGGCCCTTAGGGGACTTATAAAGACAAAGAGGGTGGCGGCTGTCCCCATGAGTATCTCACAGCTGGCAGTTCTCTCTCCCTGTTACAGAGATCCAGACAACAGCACTCAAGGGCCATTTCTTTTCACGATTTCCTCGAGAGTGGTGATGAGTTCCCTCCCTGCAGCTGCCTCAAGCACCAATCAGCATCCTGGCAGCTCGGATACCTGCGATGCTCAGTGTGGCCAGCGGCTACCCATGGTAGCAGAAGACCTCGACAGAGACCACTACCTCTGAGAGACATGCCCGCCACAGCCAGGAGGTGCAACCTGGTAAGCAGTACCCACAGAATGTGCTTCCACTAAGCACCTCACCTTAGAACCTGGAGAGGGTGCAAGCACTACGACGTGTGCCCAAAAGGAAAACCAACCAACCAACCAACCAACCAACCAACCAACCAACCAACCAACATTTCTCTAAACGAATGAGGATACACCAGATGGGCTGGCGAGATTCAGGACAACAGAAAAGAGATGCACAAATATGTCCTTGGATTTAAGCAGATCAATTCTGATT